TTTTTTTTCTGCAATAATGGTTTACAGGTATAAGCAAAAAGTTGCTATTACTCAAGGTTGCCTTTACTCTTTCAAAGTAACTGGTTGAGCGTAGCAGCTCTCTTATTAAAGCTTTCACAATTCACACAAGCGATTTTGATGCATGCTATTCAACTCGGGCTTAGAAAATTAATAAATTTATTCAGTGCATGCCAATATTAAAGATGCAATTAACATACATGGTTCATTGCTGAAACTGGGAGCCAACCTCCATTCTGTTGTTGTGCAAGATCAAGCAAAGGAATGACAGCAGATTGCTTATAGTTGGACGGATAGTGGGATAATATCTCCTTAGCCTGCACACAAATTGCTGAAAATTTAAGATTATTTATAATTCAAAATTTCAATAAATATAATGAAATGAACGTTCAGTTTAATTCCATAAAACTATTTTGTTCGATCATCTCACAGCTTTGATCAATATAGTAGAGAACACTGAAAATCCATGTACTGGCAGTGAAGTCCACTAACAATCTCTCATAAGATACGAACAACCAAAGAAAATACAAATTTAAGAAACAACTAGCCGCAAAATTGTTGAGAATGTCACTTAATGGGTCATGTTAAGATATTAGTCACTCAAGGACAACAGTACATAACACTGTAACTACATCAGCAATTCTATTTAAAATTAACACGAATTTCCACCAGAAAACCTAAGCAAACATCAATTGCCGAACCTACTAAAGGGCACCAGTGTGGCACCATTTATGTTAAATTATCAAGAGAGCAACTAAATTTTCCCAATGGGACAAACAATATCAAATAAGAACATTTTCACGAAGTGAAAGTAAGGATAGCAACATAAATAGAATAGACATCATCCTAGTTGCTCCAATCACAGAGTGAAAGCTTGCCAGACATTCACTTAATGTCATAGTTCACAACATAGCCATACTCGTTAGAAAGATTGCCCAAAGTTTATTTCTGGAATAGAAAATAAACAATTTCAAACCACGAATATTCTAAGTGCAGATTACAGGGCCAGAGGTGTAAACGAGCCGAGCCGAGCCGAGCCGAGCCGAGCCGAGCTTCTAATACTCGAGCTCGGACTCGAG